CTTTCCCTTTTCCTTTCCCTTTCCCTTTCCCTTTCCCTTTCCTTTCCTTTCTTTCTTTTTTGAGAGAGTCTCACTCTGCAGTTCAGTCTGGCCTTGAACTCACTTTGTAGTCCAGGCTGGTCATGAACTTGCAACAGTCCTCCTGCCTCAGCCTCCCAAGTGCTGGGATTACAGGCGTGCACAACCACACCTGGAAAAGACTTCTCCAAGTAATACTTTACGTTAGCAGAACTATGTTATTGCCAGGAAGGCCTTCCTCGCAGAAGGAGCTCCAGCTACAGTCTGCCTCCTGTTAGAGTCTCCTTTTAGTTAATTGGAATTGGAGCCAAAAGTCCTCAGCTGTGGTCTTACCTTGTCCTTCAAGGCCTCATGGCTTCACCCACCATACAGAGCTCAGTAGGGATGAGTGACTCACAGGTAAACATGGAAAGCCAATTGGTTAATTTAAGTCCTGCTCAGAGCTGCTTCATAGTAGTCTCCATCAGAAAACTTTCTTTTTAAAATTAGCACTTGAGCTGGGCGTGATGGCCCATGCCTGTAATCCCAGCACTTGAGAGGCTGAGGCAGGAGGATCATTGTGAGTTCAAGACCAGCCTGGGCTACACAGTGAGCTCAAGGTCAGCCTGAACTGCATAGGGAGACCTTGTCTCAAAAAGACAAAAAAATAAAAAATAAAATTAGCGCTTGAAACGTACTTTCAGTTGTACCCTTTCATCTTTTTTGGAGGGGGTGGGGGTGGGGAGTGAACCCAGGACACTCCCTGTGTGCTGGTATCTGTAAGTAAGGTCCTTGCACAGCTCCTGTCTTCCATCTTTTTAGTAGCATGGAGGGTTTTATATTACATGTTGTTGACTTCTGATTAATTAGTGCAAATTTTATTTTTAATGTAAAAGATGGGAACAAACAAATGTGCCAGCCAGGCAGGCATGACAGCCTATGGAACTAGGAGGCATCTTTATGATCCCAAAATGCAAACTGACAAACCTTTTGATCAGACCACTATCAGTCTGCAGATGGGCACCAACAAAGGAGCCAGCCAGGTAAGCAGCCACTTTCTATACTTGTAGCAAAAGGTACAGAGGGACTGTTTGAAATGAGTACTTACTGAGCTGGAGCTGGGTCTGTTGGGCCCACGCCTGTAATCCCAGTACTCGGGAGGCTGAGGCAGAAGGATCACCACGAGTTCCAGGCCAGCCTAGGCTACATAGTGAGCTCAAGACCAGTCTGAACTACGTAGCAAGATCCTATCTCAAAAAATCAAACTATTAATGCTGAACCTTATTCTTACTAACTTAAAAGTTCAAAGTAGGCATCTTTGTATAGCATATTTAGAGTGTATACCTCAGGAAAGTAGATTTTCACTGGGAAAGTAAAAGAGTGAAAGGACCTTTTCTATAGCGTAAACTGGGGTTGGTTCATGGAGGTTTTTTGCCAGTTAAAACAGCTGGCTTTTCTACCTAACTAGAAGAAAAAAAGATATGTTTATTAGTGTTCTTGCTCCAAAACCCAAGTAAAAGATTGCTTATTTAAATGCTGGCTTTTCCCCTCTTATTTTTAAAGGGAATATTAAAGTAAGTGAAGTTAATAGAACTATTCAACCAGCATTCCCTATGAAATGTTAAACTCCCAGAAGACCAAAATTTCTGAGATGCTAGTTAAATAGTTCTTGGGTAAGAGTCGAAATGGAGCATGGTGAAGATACCAGTGTTCTAACACTACATCCAAGGTAGAAGTACTGTATTTCCTTGTTGGAAATACATTGCCAGCACCTCAGGAGGCGTTCCATAACCTTGTGAGAGACGATGGTTCCCACATCCAACAAAAGTGAGGGTAAGGTTGGAAAACGACCCCAAGGTGTGATTTCTAGTTATTTGCCTTTATGGAACATGCTCTGTCATGGGTGGCAGTTTCTCTTAGCTGATACCCACAGCTTGCTTTTTCACCCACTTTATAGCTAAGAGTATGTGACTGCTGTAAGGGAGAAACTCATGTATGAGTTACAGTTCTCTAGAAAGGAGTGCATTGGAATGTGCTGTTCTGAAGTGGTTAGCTCCTGTGTGACTCGGAGCCCTCTGAAAAGAATGAATTATAAATGTTTAAAATTGGTAACTTGATTAACGTGTATGGTCATAATAGGCATTCCAATGTAATTTTAAGTGTCTCCGCATTATGCTTTGTTTTTACATTCTTTATGTCTGATCTTCTAAGTCCAGAGTAGGTAGTGTTGTCTCCATACTACATGTGAGAGACCTAAAACTAGAAGTTCACTCGTCTGAGGCAGCATAGTATTTTATAGTAGAGCAAAGAAGGTCTGACTTAGCTTGAAAGCCATGAATCTTCATAAAAGTAATCTGATACCAGCATATTTTGGTAAGGTAGGTTTACCCCAGAACCAAGTGAAAGTCACTATGTTAGTGTTCATATTCAGTGTGAATCTCATAATTTTTTTTTTTTTTTTTAATTTTTTTTTTTATTTTAAGGATAAAAGGAGGGAAACATTAACAGACATACAGCATTTTACAACATATCACAAGCACAATACAGACAATACAGAGTTCCAAACAAAGTGGTAGGGAATTAACAATGGTGGTTGTATTACATATTGATATCTTCAAAGTGGCTTCTCATGAAAACAGATATAGACATGCAATACTGGTCAACCGAAGACTCATTGACTGTTTCTTTCAGCATAGAAACAGCAGATAGAAGAACAACCATGTTATCTATCCTGTATATACATACATACAAAATTTCTCCTTCTTTCCCTTCTCTTTTCCCACATCCCAGAAGCCCTTTACTCTTCGGTGGTTTCCTATCATTTCACAGTGTCTATCATACCTCCGAGTTTAACTTAACTCTTTCAAGTTTTACACTAGTGACACAATGCGGTGCTTGCACATGTATGTTTGATTTATTTCACTTATGAGTATGGTCTCTAGTTGTGACCATTTAAATATAAAGGCCTCGAGTTTATCTTTCTTTACAGCTGAGTAATATTCCATTATATAAAAGTACCATAATTTTCTTATCCAATCCTCGGTGGATGGACATTTGGGTTGCTTCCACATTTTAGCAATTACAAATTGTGCTGCTATGAACATAGGTGCACATATATCACTGTGATATGATGTTTTTAGATCTTCTGGGAAAATACCCAGCAGGGGGATAGCTGGGTTGAATGGGACCTCTAAAGCTAGTTTTCGGAGGAATCTCCAAACTGATTTCCACAGTGGTTTCACCAATCTGCATTCCCACCAGCAGTGGAGAAGGGTTCCTATTTCTCCACAGCCTCGCCAGCATTTGTTATTGGTTGATTTCTTAATGCTAGCCATTCTTACTGGGGAAGGTGGAATCTTAGTGTTGTTTTAATTTGCATTTCTCGAATGACTAATGATGTTGAACATTTTCTCATATATTTATTTGCCGTTTGTATCTCCTTGTCTGAGAAATGTGTGTTCATCTCAGCTGCCCATTTTTGGATTGGGTCTTTGAATTTGGAGGGGCTGAAATTTTTTAATTCTTTATATGTTCTAGATAGAAGCCCTTTGTCTGAGGGACAATCAGCTAAAATTTTTTCCAAGTTTGTTGGTTTTCTTTTGACTCTGCTGGTGATTTCTTTAGATGTGCAGAAACGAATCTCATAATTTATAAAATTTTAGCAAGAAAAGAGTTTAGCTGCTGTTTTAACTTTTATTCTGTGTTCTTATATTGTGTTCTAATACCAGGCGGGGATGTTAGCACCAGGCACCAGAAGAGACATCTATGATCAGAAGCTAACATTACAGCCGGTAGACAACTCGACAATTTCCCTACAGATGGGTACCAACAAAGTTGCTTCCCAGAAAGGAATGAGTGTGTATGGGCTTGGGCGGCAAGTGTATGATCCCAAGTACTGTGCAGCTCCGACAGAACCTGTCATTCACAATGGAAGCCAGGGCACAGGAACAAATGGGTCGGAAATCAGTGATAGTGATTATCAGGCAGAATACCCAGATGAGTATCATGGCGAGTACCAAGATGACTACCCCAGAGATTACCAGTATGGTGACCAAGGCATTGATTATTAGATTCACACAGGAGCTCAGTATTTAGTCCATGATTTTTATTCAGTGAGAACCAAGCTAGCCTTGAGTAATTTCTATCTTGTCTTCCTAAAACACTATTATGCTTATTGTACCTAAAAAAAATGCCTTACATACATTCCTTTTTCTGCCTCTTCCCTAAATAGTTGCCTTTTAGTGCTGTAACAGTTAAATCCTACAGCATAACCAGTAACTTGCATATGAAGTAAAAAGGAACACTGTGAAAGGGGAGTACTCTTGTACAGCCAGTTCTTTTATTGAAGATCTATGCATTTTTACAATCTTACACTTAAACTGGTATTTTCAAGCAATAGGACATTTTCTTTTTTTACAGATTAGTGTATCTGGTTTCTACATGGAAGACTAAACTCATGCTTATTGCTAAATGTGGTCTTTGCCAACTAAACCTAAGATGCAGCATTTTAGAATTTTACATATCAATGTTTCTACAGTATTGTTTGCTAATTTTTAAATAAAGTCCTGATCAGTGTGCATTTGTGATTATATGTGTACTCATTCTCTTACGCTGACAAGATGTTTTCAGAGTGGCATTTCTAAAGGAGCATGTACAAAAAGTGGCTTGCAGACATTCGGGTCTGGGTGGTGCAGTTGCAAAATGGTTTGTGCCAATGTGTCATTGTAGAGTTGCTCTGTTTTCTTCAACTGTATTTATTGCTGCATTTCTCAGCATAAACTTATCCCATTGTATTTTTTATAAATAAATATTTTTTTGAACATTCATATGAGCCACAGGCTGATTCTTTCCCGGCTAGCTTCCAAGTAAATTAGGTAAGAAAAAAGTACTCTTTCTTGGGTACTGTGGTAAGGTATTTTAACATTACTTCTCTACACAACACTGTGCTCTGTGCTTCAGGAGACTGAGGCTTAGAAAAAGGAAGAGTAAATGGCAGCCAGGGGATTATCTGACCCGTGTTTATTTCACTGCAACTTGGTTGCCACAGATTCATCTTAAGTTCAACTTGGAATAAACATCTTCAGGAATAATTGTGGGAGTGTATATGTGTGGTGGGATTTTATGTACATACCGTAGGATAAATATAAATAAATATACTGGGTCAGAAGCAGATTTGCTGTTTGATAAGGTTAGGGTTACAGTTATACCTAAACCAATGATGGCGAACCTTTTAGAGACTAGTGCCCAAAGTGAAACCCAAAGCCCATTTATTTACTGCAAAGTGGCAACACTGCCAATTAAACCTGAATAGACTGAGGTTTTATTTTAGAAAAAACAACTCATACATTAGCATCTTTTTATCTTTAAAGAAAAACAACATGTATGCCAAAAGTTTGCCAGTTGTGAGAGGTGGTCAAACTACAGCTAAGTGTTGAGAAGAGTAGTCACCAGAGAAAATTGGTAGTGACTTAATAGACATTGTGCAAACCAAGTGATTTCTTTTGCTAGAATTGGCCCTGTTGGGCTTGGGGGTGAAAAGTTGCCTGTTTTTTGGTAAGGCCAGTAAGGAGGGAGTAGATATCTGGTTTGATGAATTCACAAAAGCGGTTTACTTATCATTGTACTGACTCAGTGTAATGCGCTGTAAATCCCTTTCTTGTAGGAGACTAACGAGCTCAGCTAATTCAGTGGTACTGTTCAAGGAAGAATTTGCATTTAAAGCAGACCTGAGCTATTAGGCTGTTTCTTGTCATCTCTGAACAAGCATTTAGGAAAGGGAAGGAAGCCTAACATCACACAGGCGCCCCCCTCCCGCCCCCGGAAGTCAGCTTGAGTCTCCTGTTAGTGGGGTGGGAAATACTATCCAGGCACCTGTCTGGCTACAGTTTTAAAGAGGAAAAGTCCCCTCTCCCCACTATCTAAGTCTTGGGTAGGCCCCGATAAAAATATTCTCAAAAGTCTTGCAGGCAGCTCTCAGGTGTGGCTGTTGCTGTGGCTGTGCTTGCCCATTTGTAAGGGTGCATCTTGCTTTCAGCCAGCTAAGTCTCATAGAGTTAAGGTTCAGTCTGTCTCCTACATAGGCCCAACTCCAAATAAGAGCTCGAACATTCAGGTTTTATGTCACTAAATTTAAGAATTGTACTCTGAAAAGTCAGTATATTTAGCATAGTTGCAAGATTTGAATGAATAAAAATCCCTGTCCTGTATGAGAAGTGTTCCAGAGATTTCTGCTAACAAAAGCCTTTTTAAAAAAAGATTTACTGGTCAGACCTTCACAAACTTGGATAGGTTTTTACCTACCAAGCTTCTTAAATTGATCCATATAAATACGGTTTTCAATATTTATGTCTTAGGAAAATGACTAAACTTTTATGGTTTCAGTATTTTGACACAGTGGCAAAAACAATGAGGACCAGGTCTTCTGCTAGTGGCTCTGACGGTCACTCTCGGCACAAACGTCCGACGAGTGCCTATCTCACGATGGGCCGGAGCTCTGTTCCCTCTTCGTTCCTTAATGAGTCTTTGTCTCTCTCTGCCCCTGCATTGTTGGATTTGTTGATCTTTTTTACAAAACTCTGAAAAATAAAAGCGATCAGTGATCTGTCAGCACTGTTGATAACCATTTACTAGGAGTTCGTGGCCATAGAGTTTTGGGTCGTTGAATTGTTAAAAATTTTCCTTGTTGAGCTATAATATTTGGGAGGGGAGTACATTTCAAAGTAGATTTTTAACTGAAAAATGTGAATCGCATACCACTATCAGAAACACTATCAGCACATCCAAATAGTAAATTGATACATTCATTAGAAAGCTACAGAAATGCTTGTTAAACTAAGAGCCTGTTGGACTGAGAGTGGTTTGATGCTGTTTAAAGCTAAAAGGGCTTTAACATCTAAGTTTTATGACAATAGAATGAAAGAAACTTACTAAACTGTCACGTGACTCAACAAGATGAGACAGTTGTTAAAATATCCCTGTCTGCATAGGGTGAGGCGAGCGACAACTGTTGTAAACAGCTGCCCGCTATTTCCAGGTGGAGGCAGCGTGGGGGCTCTGCTGAGGGTGTGCCTCGGTTAACACAAGGCCTGAAGGTGGCCGATCTATCAGCACTGGCACAGAAGGTGATCAGTGCACACGTGGGTACGGCACAGCTCTTGGGCTGCAAACATGCTTCAGAAAAAGGTGCACATTAAACTTCTTAGGGCCCCAGAAGCCAGACCAAGCCATGAGCAACAAAGGTACGTGGACTACTCTCCAGAACATCTACCTGGGTCTCTGGGGCTGCCCTTACTGAGGAACCATCTGATCAGTGTTCTGTTCAGCTTTATTCTCTCCAGGGAGCAGATCGCTAGCCGCCGAGAAGTGGTTCAGCCTTGAGCTGTCATGTGACTCAACAAGATGAGACATTCAGTTGTGAAAACATCCCTGTCTACACAGGATAAGTGCTGTATGAGGAGGGGCCGCGTGAGAGTCCTCAACACTGGACCCTGAGGATAGAGACAGTAAAAGGAAATGGAATGGCTGCTTACCGAAAACTCTTGGTCCATAAAGTAGGGCTTTTGTGATGATCCATCGTTTGTTTCCATATCAACAGCAAAACACAGGAAAAGTGCATCCAGCACCGTTTCAAACACAGATAAAAAACTGTGAGCTACTAAGCAGGCAAAAAAGGCCACTAGTAACAGAGGGATTGCCCACACCTGCAGTGTGCGGTTGTAGTTAAATGCCATCAGCCCTCCAAACACAGTGAAGTACACCACCAGCACCTGTCCAAAAACAAGTGTGTGGAAACCCTTTATAAGTTGGTTGCTCAGAATAAACATTCCAGGAAAGTTTTTTTGTCTTACAAAAAATAAAGTGTGTGTGTGCACCAGCACACCCTGTTGTTAAAGAGTGCTTGTCAAAATTTGGCAGAATGAAATAGGAATAAGTGACAGCTGGGATATCAAAAGAAAACAATGGAGTGGTAAAAATGTACTTTGATTTTACCCATGCTTGATCTTTATACAGATGGGACTACCTCAATATTTTTATTTTGGTTTTTCATGTATTACCACAAGGAGCATTATTCACTTAAAACCTTTTTTGTAAACACCATTTTTAAAAAACAGTTCAACAATCCTGGGTGTACTGTAGTTTAATAAAGTGTTGATTTTACTCCTTGGGGATTAAAGTGGAAGGGCTTTCCAGTGCTGGTGTGGGGAGATAATAGGATTATTCAGGTTTTTGAGATACATTATTATATTTCCAGGCACATAATTACAGGCCATGATGCACCTAATTCTTTAACAGATGTAATGGAGTCTGTTGCCACTGGATGTCTGTATATATAAACATGGATATCTGAATGCTACCACATTCAAAAGACGAAAGAACTACTGAGAGTCACATCTTAAGAGATGGTTTGCCATTACACATTTCTTACAAGAAAAAATAGGAAAGTGAGTTATTATCTAAAATAAGTCTATTTTTAAAATTCCACAAACTTTTGGAAATTATTACAAAATGTATTACATAAGCAATATCCATTTAAATACAACTGATGTGCTCAGGGCATTTTGAAAGGCATAAGTACGTATCTCTGGTCCACCTGAGCTTTAACTTGTTACTGGCAGCTAACTATGATACTCGTGCACCAGAGACATACACAAAATCCTAAGTGAGGACCGGAATTCAGTAGTTGGCATAACTGGTGATGCTGACCTTGTTCACCTATGGAATCGGCTGGGAACCGTGGTATTCACGTAAGATGTAGAGAAATGGTTGAAAGGAGCAAGGATGTTTAACTTGGAACAGAGGACATGGTGGGAAGGTCAGCAAGTCTGCAGCCAAGAATTTAAATGGCAGTCAAGTAGAAGCAGGTCAGGCAGACACATGTTCAGAATTAGGCCTAGTGCGTGAAAAATACATGGAAAGAGACATACTGTACATGATATCATAGAGAACCCATGTGAAGCATGGTCAGCTAGGGGCTGATGCACCACAGCCATCAGCATGTCAGCTCCTCTTCATAAAATCTACAAAGAGCATGGGTTACATTATAGGTATGAAATCTGAAGCTAGAGTCGTAAAGGATTCCAACTTCAGGGCTTTGTCCTTTAACCGCAAGATACTGAGGTTCTAAGATCCTCCACTGTATAAGACTGTACAATTATAATTTTTTAACCATAATTTTTTAAAGTATAACAAATTATTCAGATGACAACAGAAATGTAATCTTGGCCCCACCTAGGATATTAACAATTCATCTTGTTTATAGACTTAACTGCCCTTAAGTAATAATCAAATTTCATCAGGATCAATACAATCTGTTTTTACAAGAAGAAAATCCCATAAAATATACTCATTTTCTGAGACTAGTCACATTTTCACTTTAGGTATAAAAAAATGAGAATCAGTATGGCAGAGAGAATTGGTTTCAAGTAAGAAAAAAGTCTGAAAAATAAAATCTTGCCTCTACCTATTGTAGGACCCTAGACAAATTATTAAACTTTAGTTTCATCATTTGCAAAACAGGGATGCCTTGTGGGACTGAGGATTAAATAAAATGATGATGTATAGCACCTACTACTCAAGAAGTGTTAATCCCCTTTCAAATTAATTGCTAGATGGCTTCTTTTAGTTTTGGTTTAGTTTTCTGTTTTGTTCGAGACAGGGTTTTGCTACACAGTCCAGGCTGGCCACGAACAACTCAGCCTCACAAGTCCTGAGATTACTGGCACACATGCCACCACCTGCAGCTGCTTTACTGTATTGAATCCCTGATTCTTTATTGATTTAGTCAAGACATCTCACCTTTCCCAGAAAAATTACAAAGTCTCCAAAGCAGTTAACTGAAGTAAAATGATTTGAATTCCTGGACAAGATTTTGAGTGAATCTTTTGTTGATGTGCACAAAGCTGTCCCATTAATGGCAGTTGCAGTATATGCATTCTGAAATAAAAGGCAACAATTAAAAACAATTAAAAATTCTGAAACAAAAGGCAACAATTAAAATTTTATAATCATTGTTTTTTCCATGACAGTACAGAATCTGTGCAAAATACAGAAAGACAGTAACTAAATCCACTGTCTTACCTTTCACCATCAGTTCATTCTCAAAGTCCCTTTTGGTTTCTGATTATAGTCAAATATATTTTCATATATTTGCAATAAATGAAAGTGGGTTGAACATAGCACTACAACATATGGAAAGGATGGTTAAGGCATAAATTATATTTTAATGCACAGCAGAGCCTTGAGTGCAGGAAAGGAAGTTTAGGTGCCAGAAAGGAAGCAGGCCCTGCTGATTCGTGAGAGTTGGACCCAGGGGTATTAAAATAGGCAAGGAGTCAGGAAAGGCCTAGGGCTGGGAGCTGAGGGGTCAGAGAGTCTGCAGGCTCTTAGTAGAGAACTGAGTTCCCCACACAAGTTCAGAATTCAAACTCAAAACACCCAGGAAAGTAGTAAGCAGGTGTACTACCTACCTGAGGCCATTGAAATTACTAAGGTGTGGGCAACTGCAAAGCAGAACCACCTCCTCTCCTACCCGCCAAGCTGGGCAATGAGGGTCCTAAGGATAACCACCTGTGCAGAAGGTGAAATGCTCCCAGGAACAATCTATCTTCACACCAAGGAAATCAGCAGCACAACACACACGAGAATCTTTACTCTGAGACTAAAGTGGAAAGAAGTGTTCAGGGAGGTATGCTAAAGATGCTAAGAGAAAACAGAAAGAACAGTAAGCAGAGGGAATCAGCAAGACAGCATGCAGAAGAACAGTAGAAATCACACTGAATAAAATTCTAAACTCTATGCTTTAAATGGCGCAGGGCCATGATTGTATATCTGATATTTTCTCCCTTACATAAGCATTTTCATGTTGCTGCATGACTTATAATTTTAAGTTTTAATAAATTCAAATGGGTCTCTATATATGCATACATGTAACTGTGACATATTAACTGTTTCAAATATTTTGCTATGTAAATATGTAATGAACATCTTAATTTCCTGAGTTCTGGATAACTTCCTAAAGATAAATTTTCAGAAATAGAATGCCTAAGTCAAACTGTGTGTGTGTGTGTGTGTGTGTGTGTGTGTGTGTGTGTGTGTGTTTATATTCACTTGAGATTTCCAGTGTCATTTTTCTAAACTAGCTTCCCCTTGTAACTATATGATAGTTTCAAGATCATCTACTTCTCAGATTTCTCTTGTACTGAAGCTTGCATAAAGAATTTATAACTTTCCTAGGAAAGTGCTATCTGCTTAGGTTGTTGTCATTCCTTTTGGACTAAAGAATGAAAGTTGTTTATCCCATGCTGTACAAATTAACCATTTCAGAGCCAGACTTGGTGGCGCACACTTGTAATCCCAGCACTCAGGAGGCTGAGGCAGGAGGATCGTTGCAAGTTCGAGACCAGCCTGGACTACAAAGGGAGCTCAAGGCTAGCCTGAACTGCATAGCGAGACCCTGTCTCAAAAAGACAAAAAAAAAAAAAGAAACATTTTAAACTCCCCTCTCAAAAATATGATAAGCAAACCCATTTGGAGTCTATTACAGTAATCCAACCCCTACTGGCACTGGTGCTAATCAGAGTACATGAAAGAAGAGTAATACGTAAGGGATGAAACTAATAGAATTAATTGATTAGATTTATCAAACTCTCACTTCAGCAAGGCAGTTAGAGAGAAATGTTTGGTTCTCAAAGACAAAAGGCCTATAAGAAGCTCTCTGACAAGGTGCTGTGCTTTCCTCAGAGGGGATTTCAGTCAGGGCTCAGAAGAAATCCCTGGAAAAAATGCCTTAGTAGTACTCCACAAAGAGCTTTTGGTTTCTGACATATAAAATACATGTGAAGCAGCTACGGTTTGGGGACTTGAGCACTAGGCAAGGAGGTGGAAACTCATTTGCTTACACTATGTAACTAAGCATCTTCAACTCTCTAAAGTTCTCAGAGTCCTGATGACCATTCATTAATTCTCAAAACCCATGTCTGGGTGGGTGAAGAATGACATACTTGTTCTTAATTAAGATCAAGGGTGTTTTCCCCAGCTCTCCTGGTGAATCATTCAGGCAGCTTGTCAAAAAAAGATTATTCTAACCTTTTGGATATTACACTTCAACATTCATTAGGCCAAAATACTATTTAAAAGCGTGGTGGTTAAGTTAAGCACCACCTGTGTAGCCAGACTGTCTCTGGGTTCAAATCCCAGGTCTACCGCTGAGTAGCTATTGGTCTTGGCTAATAATTTAACCTAAGACCTCCATTTCCTCACCCCCAAAGAGGATGTTGGGAGGATTAAAGAATATATTTCCTATAAAGCATTTAGCAAAGCACCTGGCAATGGAAAGTGCACAATAAAGGGTGGTTATTAGCATGCAGAGCTCACCATAAATGATTACCTCATTTATGATTGGGAACACAGAGTCACCTTTTAGTACCTGAGGAGGTGTGGGAGGGCCGTGCTTTCTTTATTCTCAGGATTTAATCCCTCACACGGGTCCAGAAAGGGCAGCACATGCTTCTCACACCACGTCCCATGCCCAGTGTGGGCACCATATGCCATGCAGCCTGTTTCTTCGCCTCTACTCTCTTCATTTAGGTTCTGTTACCAGCTCGTCACCCCATCACACTTCCCCTCTAAGTTGAGGTTCTTAGTGGACTTCTGGAGTCATAAGGGGAGCACAGTTTTTCCTGAAGCCCACTGTCTCACAGTCAATTTAGTACTATTGCTCATAAGCAATAAAAATAGATTTGCTCCTGGGCTAAAAGGATTAAAGGTAAAAATGGCCCTTCCCATGCATGTGTTAACTCCACAAATTTTTGTGGCTCCATAACCATTTATCTTTTCTTTAATGTCTCATGGCCCACTGAAAGGGGGCATTAAAACCACTCTGACAGGGAAATTATATACGCCTTCCTGCAGTTACTACACCACCAGCATTTCACAGCAGGATTCAACCCTGAGTGCCACAGACAGACCTAGAATTAATGTGACGGGGGGCGAGGGATCACTGCAGACATAGGATATGGACTGAACATTTCTGCTGTTTCAGCCTTAACTAATTCATTCTTACCCTGAGTGAAAGCTGCTTCCTTGTCAGGCAGCGAGAAGATGGACTGTGCTGAACTGTGGCAGTGGAAATCTGCTCTGAGCATTCACGTGCACCTGGGATGACGGTTCAGAGACCATGTGTAAGGTCATCTGCAGGCCTGACAGTATGTGGAGAGGTCCAGATGGGATGAAGTTTTGGAAACACGTTGTGTTGGTTATGAAAGTTATGAAATCAGGAATCCTGAAGGCTAATCTTTCAGCAAGGAAGAAAGAGGTGGTGACATTTAGCTTTTAATTCATGACCACATGAAATTCAGTGGGCATGTTTTTAGCATCACCAAATAAGTGGCTATTTTCGTGTGTTGAAATTGAAGCTATAAAAGCACAGAAGAGAAACAAGGAAAGATCCCAATTTAACAAAGGCAGTGCACCCATGTTAGGGCCCAATTCTCATTTCCTTGCTTGGGATTAAAGGCTCCCTTCTACTCTGACATTCACGGAATGCCCATGTGGGACTGTCTCAAGATGCTAGAAGTGTAACTATGAGGGCAACAAGGAGTAGAACCCCAAGCTGGGAGCCGGGATCAGGGAAGACTTTACACACGTGGGATTTGAGCCCGTCCCTATGTTGACTGTCCCAGGCAGGAGTGAGGCAGCAGTGGGAGCAAGCACACAAGACAGGTATGTTTGTGGCTGAGTGCACCTGTCAGGCACTGGTGGGGTGGAGTGGAGGACAGCAGCGGGAGATGGTTCTGGAAAGGTCACAACAGCGGCTCAGTGGGTGGGACCGAAAGGCTGCACTGTAGCTCCAGGGGAGTGACAGGAAGTCTCAGGAGGACTTAGCATTTCCGACCTGTCCTTCTGGAAACCCTCCCAGGCTGCCCTTCTGCGAGCCACTCAGTGTGCTGGGCACCTGTGAGTAGCAAGAACAAACTCAAACTCAGAGTCAGCTTCTCCTGCTCTGACAACACACTTATGACGCCGAGCAAGCCCAGCTGCCGCAGGGGACACTAGCAAGATGCCCTCCGAGGCTGTTCTGACACTGTCTCCAGGGAGACAGCTAAGGGTCCAGTCCCCAGGAGTGCACCTCCTGTGCTTCTGATCAATTTGCTCTCAGCTGGGGCCCTCAACGACACCCTTGGGCTCAACTGGAGCCCAAGTGGCTCAGAGAACTCAGAGGAACACTTCTGTTTTCTGGTTTGCAACACAAACTGTCATCAGAGATACGATAAAGAAATGCACATGGCAAGGTGTGGGAGAAGAGGCACCAAGCTTCTGTGCCCTTTCTGGGCATATTTACCCTCCAGGAAGAATTTGGAAGCTCTCTGAACCCTGTCCTTTTAAGTTTTTATGGGGACCTCATTTCACAGGCATGATTGAAGCATACGTAAAAGGGTGACGTAATGCTACCAGGTTAGGTGGGGGCCTGCTCAGATTTTCCCTCACTGCTTCCTCAGCATGGGCTAGGACCCTTTCAGAAATGGAGTTCTTTTTTCCCCGTATTAGACAAAGCATGTCAGAGAACTTAATATTAGTTTCTATGACTTGTCTTGGAAATAAAACAGAGCAAATGAAAGGAGAGAGAAGATTATAGGAAGACAGACTTTGCTTCCTGAGGCGGTTTCTTCGGCATAAAGTGCCCCAGTACTACTCTCATCACTTTAGAGATAACAAAGGCTATGCAAGCAAGGATCCAGGAACCAATGATGAACTGGATATATCATAATATCACAAGATAATAAATGATAATATGACAACTTCCAAGGCTCACTCCCACCCAAGCCTTGGAGAGGTCCCCCAAGTGCTTCAATGCTGCCCACGTGGCTTTTCGGAGTTACCACAAATACGGAGTGACTGCACTTCCACAGATGGAGGTATGCTGGTCCTATTAGCAT